TTTCTGTAAAGATACACCATCTTGTTATATTGGGAGGGCTGGTTTTTTTTTTTTTTTTTTTTTTTGAGACAGAGTCTCCCTTGTTGCTCAGGCTAGAGTGAGTCCCGTGGCATCAACCTAGCTCACAGCAACCACAAACTCCTGGGCTCAATTAATCCTCCTGCCTCAGCCTCCCGAGTAGCTGGGACTACAGGCATGCGCCACCATTCCCGCTAATTTTTCTTATATATTAGTTGGCCAATAAATTAAATCTAGTCAAAAAAAACCCAGAATTCTTTTATGATGATTTCACTAACTTCTGTATCTTTATGAATTCTTTATTAAAGAGAAAAACCCCACATCCATTAATTTCTCAACGTGTACATGGTTGACACCATGAATAAGAGAGCCTTTATTCTTCTTTACTACTCTAAATATTAATTCAAAAGACACAACTGGATCAGTGTTCACTGTATATCTGGATTTGAGAATTTATTGGTTTTTTTTGTTTATTTGTTTTGAGACAGAATCTCACTCTCTTGCCCAGGCTAGAGTGCCATGGTGTCAGCCTAGTTCACAGCAACCTCAAGCTCTTGGGCTTAAGTGATCCTCCTGCCTCAGCCTCCCAGGTAGCTGGGACTACAGGCACGTGCCACTATGCCAGCTAATTTTTTCTAGTTTTAGTAGAGTCGGAGTCTTACTCTTGCTCAGCTGGTCTCGAACTCCTGAGCTCAAGCAATCCACCTGCATCAGCCTCCCAGAGTGCAGGATTACAGGTGTGAGCCACTATGCCCAGCTGGAATTTATTGTTTTTCTAAAAACATAGCTAGGAATCTGTGCATAGAAATGAACAGGTCTCCTAGAAAGACTTTTGTCCATTAAAATAACATAGATACATTTTAGGACCAAACTTCTACAATCTTATTGCTGTGGGCTGTGTAAGAAATGTGAGATTTAGCTCAAAACTAAGGAGGAAAATTACAATTAAGAATAGATTCCTGGCTGTGCGTGGTGGCTCACACCTATAATCCTAGCACTCTGGGAGGCTGAGGTGGGTGAGTGGATTGCTCAAGATCAGGAGTTCGAACCAGCCTGAGCAAGAGCGAGACTCCGTCTCTACTATAAATAGAAAGAAATTAATTGGCCAACTAATATATATATAAAATTAGCCGGACATGGTGATGCATGCCTGTAGTCCCAGCTACTCGGGAGGCTGAGGCAGAAGGATTGCTTGAGCCCAGGAGTTTGAGGTTGCTGTGAGCTAGGCTGATGCCATGGCACTCACTCTAGCTTGGGCAACAAAGTGAGACTCTGTCTTCCAAAAAAAAAAAAAAGAATAGATTCCTCCAAGAGAACTTACTTTGGTCTCTTTTTATATGGTTGCTGAGGTGGCGTGATTGCCTTTGGTTCTGGAGAGTCTGGGGGAGACGGATCCCCACCCGGGAGCTCTGGAGGGAGAGGAAGGTCTGTAAGTAAATGACGTGTCCTCTGTTCCTTCTCTTTCTTTATCGGTTTTGAAGGAAGAGTTTCTTTTGGACTAAACAAAAGAGGGAAAGATAAGAAAAAGATTACAGTGACTTAAAGGATATGCAAATAAAACTTTTCAAATAACATTATAACGTCTGGCCATTAAAAGATTATAGTTATTTTACTTTTAAGGAAAAAACCTGTAATATAACATAAGGAAATAGAATTTATCACAGCTAAAGATACTTAAATCTTACAAAAAAGAAATCTATAGCATATTAAAGAAACAATGAAAAATCTGTGATATTACCTGTAGACTCTTTACCAAACTCTTTACTTATTGTCCTTCCTAAGATTCTATTTGGATTTTTATCAAGATGAAATAAAATACAGGAAGTAATTATCTTAAATTCACAAAGTACCACCGCAACTAATGTAGTTCACCAAACGTACTCTATATTTTAACAAAGATTTAAATAATGAACAAGAGCTCAACAATTTAATACTACTATATTACTAAAGATGTGGAGAAGAACTTGGAAAAAGGAAATAGTATTTTAGAGTGTTTTATAAGAAATATAGTTAAGGCCGGGCGCTGTGGCTCACGCCTGTAATCCTAGCTCTTGGGAGGCCGAGGCGGGCGGATTGCTCAAGGTCAGGAGTTCAAAACCAGCCTGAGCAAGAGCGAGACCCCGTCTCTACTATAAATAGAAAGAAATTAATTGGCCAACTGATATATATATAAAAAATTAGCCGGGCATGGTGGCGCATGCCTGTAGTCCCAGCTACTCGGGAGGCTGAGGCAGAAGGATCACTCGAGCCCAGGAGTTTGAGGTTGCTGTGAGCTAGGCTGACGCCACGGCACTCACTCTAGCCTGGACAACAAAGCGAGACTCTGTCTCAAAAAATAAATAAATAAATAAATAAATAAATAAATAAATAAATAAATAAATAAACACAAATCTCATGAGCACTTCCTACTAATTTTTTTTTTTCATTTTAATGTCCTGTAAATCACACAGAACAAACTCTAGGTTAGTTTTTATCACATCAACCAGAATGAGGATAGTCAATGGGGCACAAAATAATCATCTGAAACTTTCTGCTGAAATACTGGTGGGGATGAACACACGCTACCAGATTGACTATTATAATCTGCACTCAGATTTTTCTACACTGGGAACAAAGCCTAATACCAGAAAATGCCTGAGTGAGGATACAATATAGATTTTGAAAATTTCTCTGATTTTTAAGATGTTCAAGGAAGGAAAATTCATAACTTCTCAACTACTAATATCAGATTATTCTGTAGAATTCTCAATTTCTCATGATTCAGGAATAGATTTCTTCTTGGCTGGGCTTTCCTACAAGAGGAAGAAAACTCAAAAGTATCTGATTGTTTTACCATCATTTCAAGTAAATTCTGTCTATCTTTTATATTTAGGTTTTATTTTATACAAGGTTTACATTATGGGTTCAAATACAGTTTCCTACTACCAGCTGAGTATCCCTTATACGAAATGCTTGGGACTATATGTCAAATTTTACATTTTTTTCAGATTTTGGAATATTTGCTTTATACCAGTTGAGTGTCCCTAATCCAAAAATCTGAAATCTGAAATGCTCCAATGAGCATTTCCTCTGAGTATCATGTCAGCATTCAAAGTTTCAGATTTAAGCCAGGTGTGGTAGCATATGTCTTTAGTCTCAGCTACCTGGGAGGCTGAGGCAGGAGGATCACTTGATCCCAAGAGTTCAAGGTTGCAGTGACCTATGATTATGCCACTGCACTCCAGCTTGGGCAACAAAGCAAGACTGTCGCTAAATAAACAAATAAATACAAATTAATTAAAGAAAAAAGTTTCAGATTTTGGAGCATCTGGAACTTCAGGTTTTAGGATGAAGGATAATCTCAACCACTCTAACAAATGTACATTGCGTATGGAAAACTACATTTTTAGCATGTTTATTTCAAGAATAAGTGTTCGATAGAATATGTATCATCAGTTCAGGACACAATTTGAATACAGGTCAAATCCTATTTCAATAAATTCTAATGTTGTTAAAACCTTGAAAATTTAATGATAGCCCATAAAACTACAATGCTTAACAATGCCTTTAACCTTTAGTGTGGGGCACTAAGTATCACACAGGGCTGTGGAAGATTCCAAGAGTCTAGCATAGGGGAGCAAATACTATGGTAAAGTCATTGTGTGAAGATTCAGTACCAGAAAGTGCTGATGTACCTTGTCAATATTAGTACTTCCTGGGTCCCCATTTACACATGTACATAGGTTCACATGTGGTAATTAGACTGTGGAACACTTGTGTATTAAACAAAAAAAAGGTGCCAATCTCGAGGACTTCCCACATTTTAGAATCTATATAGTATCTTAGAATTTATGATAATAGGATTTAATCTGTAAGTACAATATAAATGCTTCTAATAAATAGTCTTTATTGCCAATAAAAACATAAAATTTATAGTAACTGTTTTTAAAAAATTAATTTCTCAATAGATAATTTTCAAGTTCTAGGAGCATAAAAAACTTTAATTATGATTAATTATCTCCTTCCCCTTGAAGCAGGTTGTTTAAGAAGTGATTTCAACTGGGCAGGGTGGTTCACACCTGTAATCCTAGCACTCTGAGAGGCTGAGGGGGGAGGATTGCTTTAGCCCAGGAATTCAAGACCAGCCTGGGCAACAGTGAGACCCGGCCTCTACAAAAATTTTTTAGAAAATTAGCCAAGCGTAATAGTGTACAACTGTAGTCACAGCTATCTGGGATGGTGATGCAGGAGGATCACTTAAGCTTAGAAGTTTGATGTTGCAGTGAGCTATGATTGTGCCACTGCGCTCCAGCCTGGGCAATTGAGCAAGACCCTGTCTCAAAAACAAAAACAAAAAATACTTGAATTTAAGATGAAAAAATTCATTATTTCCATTTTTTCTATCTTTATCTATATGCAGAAAACAACTAATAACCATATATATATTTTAAAATAATATAAGAAAAATAGTTTTGCTTACTTTATTCTCACATACATGTTTTTTTGTTTGTTTTTTTGAGACAGAGTCTCACTTTGTTACCCAGCCTAGAGTGAGTGCTGTGACATCAGCCTAGCTCACAGCAACCTCAATCTCCTGGGCTCAAGCGATCCTACTGCCTCAGCCTCCCAAGTAGCTGGGACTACAGGTATGTACCATCATGCCCAGCTAATTTTTTGTATATATATTTTCAGTTGGTCAATTAATTTCTTTCTATTTTTGGTAGAGACGGAATCTCACTCAGGCTGGTTTCAAACTATTGACCTCGAGCAGTCCGCCCACCTCAGCCTCCCAGAGTGCTAGGATTACAGGTGTGAGCCACCACACCAACCAGACCTATTTGTTTTTTTTAAGAGACAAGGTCTTGCTCTGTCTCCCAGGCTGCTAGAGTGGAGTGCACCAATCACAGCTCACTGCAACCTCAAATTCCTAGGCTCTAGCAATCCTCCTGCCTCAAAATTCCCAGTAACTGAGACTACAGGTTTGTGTCACTATGCTCAGCTAGTTTTTCTTAATTTTGTAGAGATGGGGTCTTGTTGTGTTGCCCAGGTTGGTCTCAAACTTCTGGGCTCAGGCAATCCCCCCAGTTTAGCTTCCCAAAGCACTGGAATAACAGGGGTGAGCTACTGCATCCATCCTCATACACATTCTTTTTTTTTTTTGAGACAGAGTCTCACTTTGTTGTCCAGGCTAGAGTGAGTGCCGTGGCGTCAGCCTAGCTCACAGCAACCTCAAACTCCTGGAGTCAAGCGATCCTACTGCCTCAGCCTCCCAAGTAGCTGGGACTACAGGCATGTGCCACCATGCCCGGCTAATTTTTTACATATATATATCAGTTGGCCAATTAATTTCTTTCTATTTATAGTAGAGACGGGGTGTTGCTCTTGCTCAGGCTGGTTTTGAACTCCTGACCTCGAGCAATCCACCTCGAGCAATCCGCCCACCTCGGCCTCCCAGAGAGCTAGGATTACAGGCGTGAGCCACCGCACCCGGCCCCTCATACACATTCTTAACATACACAGTCTTAAGATAGCCACACATACTCAAGTAAACACTGAATAGTCTTCCTCCCCCATTTGAAAGACAGAAATCTCTATTTCTTTTATCGAAATCATTATACCTCTGAAAATCTGCACTCTACTCCAACATATGAGAGGTTCAAAAGTTATGTGCAGAATGGTTTAGCCAAGTAAACATTTTGATATTAAGATTCTTAGCCACACTGATATTCTAGCCACTATGTCAACTAATATTGAAATGAGGTTCCTGTGGGTAGATAATTGGGTAGGGTCTCTTTGGATAATGCTCAACTATCTTCTTTTCCAATAAAAAGTATAAAAAATATGGCTTTTATCTACAAGAAGTTCATAGTATACCAAACAAATTTATCTACACAAATTTCAGGTCTGTCTTTTCCTTTGTAGTTCTCAGAATGTGGAAGAATTCATAAATACCTATATTAGAAAGAGTATGTGAAATTTTTCTTTATTATTAGATCTGCCACTATGAATAGCAATGGAGCCATTGTTTAAAATAATCTGTACACAACAAGCTTCCTATTGAAAGAAAAAAAAAAAATAAAAAAAATAAAATAAAATAATCTGGTTTTTTTCCTTTCCATTTACTGCACTTGCACCCTCTTAAAAAGTACAAAGGGTAAATATGAAAGAAGATAGACCTCAAGGGCTGAAATGTATCATCATTCAAATTACTGATATCACCTAGAAAGTATCGGAGGCTTGGGAATTGGGCTGCGATGCAAGATAAGTAGCACTTATTTTTGTGCTTACAATGAAAAGTTTGTTGCAATAAATGCAACTCATATCCTAGAGAAGAAGGCAGAGGCAGGATCTCAGTAGAGAAAAAACAGTAACACAAAGACTGTCATGACATTTCACTGCTAAAACATGTTTGTTTGGTGGTACTTGCCCAGGTAGTGCTGCCAAGAAATTAAATAAATATTTTTCTTAATGCCTTCCATAAAATCAGATTCATGCTTCATAACCATTTCAGTTCTCAATACTCAGAGGACTCATTAAAATTAAAGCTCTCCCCATCATCCCATTGTGAATTATACTCTAATTAGCAAAGCTTCTACATATTGTTCTTTTGCTTCTTACAGCAGAACTAATTTTTTTTGAAAACCAGCCTTTATCAAAATAAATCTAGTTTTGACCCTGGATCTGAAGGAAAAAAACAAACCCAGCTATAAATGACATTTGGGGACCACTGGGGCTATTTAATATTATTCATATAACTATTGATATTATATTATTAAATCAATGCTAAATTTTCAAGGGCAATGAAAGTATTGTGATTATATAGAAAAATGTTACTATTAATATTACGAGAGACATATTTAGATGTGTTAAAGCAAACGTGGCAAAAATTTAACAATTAGTGAATATAGGTTATGAATACAAGGATGTTAATTATATTATTCCTTTAATTTTTCTGTATTAAAATTCTCAATATAAACATTTAGGGGGAAAAACTTGATTTTTTTCAAATTTGAATCTTATCAATAAGTAAACTTCTGAGAAAATGGGTTAAATAGGCCTCAAATTCTAATTCTCTCTTCCCAACTAATAATGTCATAAATATGGAGTTTTCCACTGAAAACCAAATATCAAAGGCATTTCCTACTCATAAAAGCATTATGGTGGCTTTGACAAAATTTAAAAACAGAAAATTCATTACACTTAGATCAACAGGGTTAATTTTTTTCCAGTAAACTATGGGACTTACCTATCCATGTCATCATCTCCAGGTAATAAGGGTGGCAGGGGCAGAGGAGGCAATGTTGAAGTTTTCAGGTGTGGAATTGCAGCTGTTACAGATACTTGAGTCTTCACAGAAACCTGTACAGGGGGCTGAGAATTTGCCTGAGAGGACAGAGCAGATGTCCTTGCATGAGTAGAAGGGGGCAAAGTTGAAGTACTGGAAGCAGAAAACTGACTAAATGCTAGTTGAGGAGGAGGCAGAGGTGGCTGCTGCGAAACAGCTGGAAGTGGAGGCAAAGGTGGCAGAGGGGGTGTCTGAGGTGGAGGGGTAGTAGTTGGTAAAGGGGGTGGAGGAGTAGTAATTGTGGGGAGAGTTGGCGGGGTCTCCTTTTCTGATGTCTCCGTCTCCTTTGGAGTAACAATCTTCTCTTTCAATGCTACGGATTTAGAGTCTCTTGTTCCCTGTGCTTTCAAATCTTTAAGAGCAGGATGCTTCTCAGAGTTCTCATCCAGCTTTACTTTCCCTATATCTAAAGAATTTTTGACCTCTGTGTTTAGATGTGTTACATTTACCAGTTCAGTATCTGGGGCAGATTTTTCCAATTTTACACATCTGGGTAACTTTTTAGACTCCACACTTGAATCCTTAGCCTCTACTGAACTGTTCTCTTTTTTAGGCAAAAATATAGGTGAACCTTTGGATTCTTTTCCATCCATTTTTGCTGCAGCAGCAGCAGCTGCTCTTTCCTTTTTTTTCCTACTGAGTTCAGCTCCCAGGCTGGAATTCAGTGGAAGCCTAACTGGTGAGATACTGGAATGACGACTGCGTGAGCCGGATCTCTTCTTTTTACTATGAGAAGATGAGTGTCTTGAATATGCAGGACTTCTACTTCTGGACTTCATGGATTTCCTACTGAAAAAAGAAAAAGGAAGTGTAAAATAGACAGACTACAGTAATACTTGGAGGAAAATAGATTAGCAAAACAAACTATGGAGAACTGTAACTTTAAAACCCATTTGAGTAATTTATCAACCTTAAAATAGATTAGGTGCCATCAAAAACCAGGAGAGGCCAGGCACGGTAGCTCAAGCCTGTAATCCTAGCACTCTGGGAAGCTGAGGCAGGCGGATCGCTCAAGGTCAGGGAGTTTCGCTCAAGAGCAGGAGTTCGAAACCAGCCTAAGCAAGAGCGAGACCCTGTCTCTACTATAAATAGAAAGAAATTAATTGGCCAACTAAAAATATATATTAAAAAATTAGGGCCGGGCGTGGTGGCTCACGCCTGTAATCCTAGCACTTTGGGAGGCCGAGGCGGGCGGATTGCTCAAGGTCAGGAGTTCGAAACCAGCCTGAGCAAGACCCCGTCTCTACCAAAAATAGAAATAAATTAATTGACCAACTAAAAATATATATACAAAAAATTAGCCGGGCATGGTGGCGCATGCCTGTAGTCCCAGCTACTCGGGAGGCTGAGGCAGTAGGATCGCTGAGCCCCGGAGATTGAGGTTGCTGTGAGCCAGGCTAATGCCGTGGCACTCACTCTAGCCTGGGAAACAAAGTGAGACACTGTCTCAAAAAAAAAAAAAAAAAAAAATTAGCAAGGCATGGTGGCCTTTGCCTGTAGTCCCAGCTACTCAGGAGGCTGAGGCAGAAGGACTGCTTGAGCCCAGGAGTCTGAGGTTGCTGTGAGCCCGGCTGACTCCATGGCACTCTAGCCTGGGCGACAGAGTGAGACTCTGTCTCAAAACAAAAAACAAGGAGATCCACAGACACCACCAAATGTAAAAAAAAGAAAAAAAAAAAAAAAAAAAAAAAAAACAAGGAGAGTCTGAGAAATGAGTCCAACCAATAGAAGCTTAAGGAGACTAAATGTAATACTGTAACATGGATAAGTTCCCAGAACAGAAAATGGACATTAGGTAAAGGCTAAGTAAATCTAAAGAAAGTATGGACTTTAGTTAATAATTATGTATCAATATTGATTCATTAATTGTAACAAATGTACCATACCAACATAAGATGTTAACAATAGGGGAAACTGGGTACAAGGATATATCGAGAACTCTGTGTACTGTATTCAAAATTTTTCTATAAATCTAAAACTATTCTAAAAAAAATAAAAGTTCATTAAAAAAATAGACTAGGACAAACTCTTTCATAAAAACATATTTGAATCCTCCAGCACTAAAAATTATCCACTATTCAACTGAAAGAAGATAGATCAGTACTTTTTTTTTCCTCATGGCAAAAAAGAAATAGCCATAGTCACAATCGTTACATTCAGAATTTTGGTTTTAATCATTTTTTTTTTTGGAGACAGAGTCTCACTCTGTTGCCCCAAGTAGAGTACAGTGGCATCATCATAGCTCACTGCAACCTCAAACTCCTGGGCTCAAGAGATCCTCCTGCCTCAGCCTGCCCAGTAGCTGGGACTACCAACATATGCCATATTTTTAGTAGAGATCAGGGCTTACTCTTGCTCAGGCTAACCTACCACCTTGGCCTCCCAGAGTGCTAGGATTACAGGTGTGAGCCACCATACTTAACTGGTTTTAATCTTTGATAAAGTAAAAACATGATAAAGTTATACTCTATGGTAAAGGTGGGCTATATCAGTTATAAAGTTAAAGTAACTAGCATGCTTCACCAAAACATAAACTTTTAAATTAGACAGCTATTTAATTGGAAGATCCCAGGAAAATATGTTGTTCCTTGTATCCTTAGTCTGTAATAAAGTTGAAAAATTTACAATAAAGCACTAAACAAAACCCAACATACAAAAGTTAGGATTTACAAAACAGGTAAATTGGAAACAATGTTTTACCAAAATAATTTATTAGAGGTTCTCATGATGGGTATACAAACACCTAATGGGTGTGGTGCACACCATCTAGGGGATGGACATGTTTGAAGCTCTGACTTGGGTGGAGCAAGGACAATATATATAACCTAAACATTTGTATGCCCATAATATGCTGAAATGAGAAAGTAAAAATAAATAAAAAATAAAAATATTTTATTGCTAATAAATGCTAACAATAAAAAAAAGCTCTCAAAAATATGATGGCTATGGTACCTTTAATATAAAATGATTCCTAACTTTTCAAGAACTCAAAACAAGGTATTATTGCACATTCAATTAATTTTCTTCATAAGGAAGGATTGGGGCCGGGCGTGGTGGCTCACGCCTGTAATCCTAGCACTCTGGGCTCTGGGAGGCCGAGGCGGGCAGATTGCTCAACGTCAGGCTCAGGTGATCCTCCTGCCTCAGCCTCCTAAGTAGCTGGGACTACAGGCATGCGCACCATACGTGGCTAATTTTTCTTTTATGTATTTTTAGTTGGCCAATTAATTTCTTTCCATTTATGGTAGAGACAGGGTCTCGGCTCTTGCTCAGGCTGGTTTCAAACTCCTAACCTTAGGCGATCCACTCGCCTCTGCTTCCCAGAGTGCTAGGATTACAGGCGTGAGCCACCACGCCTGACCTTTTTTCTTTTTTTTGAGACATTGAAACAGAGTCTCACTCTGTTGCCTGGGCTAGAGTGCGTGGCATCAGCCTCGCTCACAGCAACCTCAAGCTCCTGGGCTCAAGTGATCCTTCTGCTTCAGCCTCCCGAGTAGCTGGGACTACAGGCATGTGCCACCAAGCCTGGCTAATTTTTTCTATATATATTTTTAGTTGGCCAATTAATTTCTTTCTATTTTTTAGTAGAGACAGGGTCTCGCTCTTGCTCTTACTCAGGCTGGTTTCGAACTCCTGACCTTGAGGGATCCGCCCGCCTGGGCCTCCTAGAGTCCTAGGATTATAGGTGTGGGCCACTGTGCCCCGGCCCCAATTCTTATTAATTCTTTTTGCTTTTTACTAAAGCTTAATCTAATCTGCTCAGACTTCAATGTGAAGAGACAAAAACACTAAAAATGGGACTAGACAATTTGCCCAGTGGTCTAAAACAAGTTGTTCCCATTCTAGATCATCAATATCTCCCTTTACCTCTGATCATTGGTAAGACTGACATAAATCAAAATGTTTCAAAGCAAACATCATATGTGTAAGGCAAACAACTCACATGATGACAGCCATGTTTTTCATTTACCTATGCTGCTTTTTGGAAGTTTGCTTCAAAAAGTTAAAATATTAAATTATTATTAGAATCAATAGTACTAAAAAACAACAGTAACAACAGATATATGAACATGAGGATATAAAATACCAAAAGCATCACATCCTGAGAGAGGCAGATTAAAAAAATACCAAAAGCAGTTAAACAGGTGAGGCATGGTGGCTCATGCCTGTAATCCTAGCACTCTGGGAGGCCAAGGGGGGGAGGATCGCTCAAGGTCAGGAGTTCAAGACCAGCCTGAACAAGAATGAGATCTCCCTCTCTACTAAAAATAGAAAGAAAGTAGCTGGACAACTAAAAATATATAGAAAAAACTAGCCGGGCATGGTGGTGCATGCCTGTAGTCCCAACTACTCAGGAGGCTGAGGCAGAAGGATTGTTTCAGCCCAGGAGATTGAGGTTGCTGTGAGCTAGCCTGATGCCACAGCACTCTAGCCCAGGCAACAGAGCAAGATTCTGTCTCAAAAAATAAAAAAAGAAGTAGTTAAATAAATTCACCAAATATCCACTAATGCTTAAGAAAACTACATTCCTCCTACAAATATTTGGCTGAAATAAGTTTTCTCTGCTTGAATTATAGCTAAGATAAACAATATCTCTATCTCAGGGAAAACGTCTATAACCATAAATACTAAATAATGCTAGCTACCATGCTCTACTATTGTTTCTTTGATCAGCATGACCAAATCTTCCTCAGGAACTCTGCTATAAACTCTTCAATTTCTGAATAGAATCCTACATACTTGTAGTATTTTTAGTGATACAAATGCAATATTTGAGTTGCAGGTCCACTCTTCCAGAAAAAAAGGGAGGAGTGGACAACAAATAGGTAAACACAAGGAACAGTAAGAAATATGTCTTCAAAACCAAATGTATTTTCCTCCCTGAATTAAGTTAGGTTCCACTCATTTGAAATGAAATTGCTACCATTAGTCACTGCTAATTTAGTGGCTACAAAAGCACTGCATTTCTGTCAAAGCATTTTTAGTCTTTTAAAATGATGCCTGTTTCATTTTGACTGTCTCCAAAAGAAAAAAACACAGAGATTACCATAGAAACAATCTGCATGTTCCTCTACTTTGACTCTACAAAATTTTTGTACTTACTATTTGGAATTTCAATCAATGAGGAAAAACATGTAATGCAAAACATCCAAATATAAAATGCTCTCTATAAGGTAACCCAAATTATGCACATATGTGTCTCTAGGAATATTATGTAATGTTTATGTTTGCATCCATATTGTGTCTCCAACTCTTTCTAGATTTATTTTTTTAGCATTACTGACTAGTTTCAATTAAGTGAGTAGGACTTTCTCTACTTGCTTAAGAGAACTTGAGATATGCTGTTTTCTCTAAGAATCTAACAGGAATCAATGCAAAGAAATAGTTCTTACTAGTTCAGTTAAAATAGTGTTTTAGCCTTAACACCTTCTGTATTCCCATATCCCAAAATAACTTAGAACAGTCTTAATGGAACTACTCTCTAAAGAAAACAAATATTCTGAGAATACTTCTTAGGCTTCCTTAAAAAACTAAGCAACTTTACAAATGGTACATTTCAGACTCATGAATTTCATTGTATATAAATTTTGCCCCTTACCCCTCCAAAAAAAAAATGAACTGTAGCTAATGGTATACATGTTAAAGTGTTTAATAATGAATTATACTGGTGTCTACAAACTTACTTTGAGACAAATGAAAACAAAAGCTGAATTGATGATAAAATATATAGCAAACACTAATTGTAGAATCTAGGAGGTAGAAATATGGGTATTCACTACAAGTCTTTCAACCTTTCTGTGTTTGGAAATCTTTTATAATAAAATGAGGGTGAATGCTAAGGAACTTCAGCTCTTGACAGCTTAGTAAGTCTGCAGCTTCATGAATTCACACTAGTTTATGAATAATTAAAGTTTAAGTCACCAAAATTTACCCTAAAATATAAAAGACATGCATGGATTTTTCAAATTAGCATAATTTCTCTACTAGTGTTCAACATTATCCTCACTCATAATTTACTGAGTGGTACTATATACAAGGCACTGTGCTATCCACTTTATATTCAGTAATTTAATCCTAACAACCCTAGAAGTAGGCAGTTATTATTCCCATTTAATACCTGAAGCAACTCAGGCATGGAGAAAGGTCACAAAGCAATATTAGGATTTCACTAAGGTCTAACTAAAGCCCATGTTATGCATTTGTGGACAGAGGTGAGTCCACAAAGGAGGTAGATCTCATCACCTAGGAACAACAACAGTTCTTTACACTTAATTCACTCTAACATCAGAAATTTCAAACTAACATGCCTCTCTCACAAAAATATCATGGTAAAGGCATTATTACCATATTTTCATAGAAAGATTTTGAAAATTGCCAGTGGTCACAAGGTAGGTCAACAGTGATGCTATAAAGAAAATCAAAATGTCCTTGGAACCAATTTCTCCTAGGCTATACTTCAAAAGGAAAATGGACTAATCAGATAAATTTCCACTAAAAACATCGGTCAAAAGACAGGAATCTTTTGTAAGTTATTAAAACCTTGCCAATTATGAAATGAATAAACTTACAGTTTTGGAGACTTGAGTGGACAGCACAAATAATGGGATGGCCTAGGCAAATAACTTCAATAACTTCAATACAAATGAAAATCTGTAATTTTTTAAGTCTCCAATCAGGTGCAGTAAAGTCTAAAACACCAATACTAACGTGATTTTTTAAAAATATAAGTCAAAGCAACAGAAATAGCTAGACAAGCTCTGAGAAAGTTATCGAAATAATTATCAATTCTATGCATTCACAAAGCAGAAGCCTATGATTTTTCTCACACAGAAGCTTACAACTGAAGATCCCACCACTGGAAGTACCTACCTTTAGCTGTTTGAGGCCTATGAACTCTTCACTTCCCCAATTCTGGGATAAGGGGAGACAAGATTCACCTACGATACATGAATGACTAGCCAACAGCAAAGTATCCTAGTCAATGATGAACAGTGGGGGGCTTCAACAAAATGTTAACATGACTAATTGCCAGTTTTTCACAACCCACCCTAAATTAGGAAGGACTGTTAGACAAATAGCTCACCTGGGGAGTGGACTCCGACTCAGAGACCGCTTGCTCATGAAAGGGCTGCTGGACCGCCTTCGACCATAGGGACTGGGTGATCTCCCACTGTAAGAGCCACTCCGTTCATAGCTGGATGACCGTCTCCTGCCATAAGGACTCACAGACCTCTGTCTTCTACTGTAGGGACTGGGTGACCGAGTACTGGACTGGTAGGCCGAAGGCTCCTTGTAAGGTGGGCTAACTGACTGCCTTCTTGAGGTACTCCCAGGACTTTTCTTGTAGGAGTCATAATTGCTAGAGGTGTGAGATCTTGGAGGACTAAGGTCATAATCTTGGCCATAAGAAGCTCCTGAGGGGCTATCATCTTGCTTGGAGCTGTCAGACCACTTCCTGTGGGGACTCCTGGACCTCCGTTTCGGGCTGTCCACTGTTTTGTAACTTTTAGGTGTTTCCCTTTTCCGATGACTTTTACTCCGGTCTTTGTGCCCAGACTTCAATTCACGTTCTTTCCGAGTCTTCTCCTTACGGAGTTTGGATGACCTGGATTCCTTGTTGCTGTTTTTGGATATCTGTGCCTTTCCATAGTCATCAATCTCCTCATTTGAACGCTTTGAACTTCCTGATGTCCGGTCCTTTATCGATCCCGACTTGCTGGAGACTTCCTGGTTTTTTTCTTTTTCGGTCTGCTTGGTTTTTAGTAAGTCCCGGGAACGCCTGTGCTGGTGGTGACGATGTTTGTGCAGGCGATCACTCCGATCAGTCCCACGACGTTCATCATTCTCCCTTCTGTCTAGTTTAAAGGCCATGTCATCAGAGAAAGTGTCAGAATCAGAGCTGATATCATCATACTCCACCAGAGGTTTGATAACTGTACCCAAGGATGCTGCTTCGGGGGTCACCAACCCCATGTCTTTGGAGTGCTTGGACTTATGCCGCTTGTGCTTCGATACCAGGCGGTGACGCTCTCTGCTGTTGGCGCTGCCACCTCCCGATGACGGCTGCAAAGTTCCAGAAGCTCCCCCACTCCCGTCCTTCTTACCCCCATGTCTCTCTGAATTGGGCATTCCCTTTCCCCTGGCCTGAAGAAGGGGAAAAAGTTCCCCAGCACTCCAAAAAGTAACCCCCACCCTCCCCCCCAACCCCAACTCCACGCCCACCAAAGCGCCCCTAGAAGGGGGGTGGGGAGGGAAGGGACGGCAGCCCAGGCTCCTCCTCCCTCCCGACTCCTCAGCACCCTCCTACATGAGGCGGGGGGGGGGGGTTGAAGGAGCGAGGGAAGAAATGAGAGTTCCTCAGCAGAGGAGTTGCGAGACAACGGGTAGCTGCTCAAGTCTGTTTCCCCTTCTCCCTTCGTCGAGCCAATCCTCAAGCCCGGGGACCGGAGAGGTCGAGGAAGCAGGAAGCCGACGGCCCGGGGCTGTGGGGCCGACTCCGGCCCTGTGAGGACTGCGCGGGCCCTTCCCCTACCCGGTAGACCGGCTCGGGGCGGGCTTCCTGTCGCCCGGGTCCCGTGGCCTGGGTGCCTCACGCCCCCTTTGTCCCTGGCTCCTAACGGAGCCCCTTTTCCTGCCTCCGCCTCACCTCAACACCTCACACACATTCGCTCCCTCACACAGACTCACAGTCACACACTAGATTAAACCGAAACGGCACTTGGAGAAGGGGGGAGGGGCAATCCCAAAATATCGCGAGAATCCAGTGGGATCTCGCGATGCTTGTGCTTCTCTTTCCCTTCTCTTCGCTGCTTGATCAAACAACGCGAGAACAGGTTCAACCAAGAAACGCAGCTCTTCAGATTCTCGCGATAAACTCCCCACTCCCCATTTGAGCAAACCTTTATTGAAATGGAGCTAGCAGATTTTTTTTTTTTCCAACCAAAAACTTTATGGATAACTCATTGAACAAATACTCCCAGGCTCCAGTGCAAACTAATTTTAGCTTGCTTTGTAACAAGTCTTTTAACTACGGGGATAAGCATATTTTTAACAGGGCAAAGGGCGAATGTGGGGACTTCTCAACCCAAGTCCTTGAGAATTTAAACAGTGCTTCCCACTTACATTGTATGTACTATGTGCCAGGCATTTTACAAACCTGATGTTTAATTTTCACAACTACCCTGAAGGACACCATGTTCTCATCCCTATTTCACGGAAAAGGAATCCTAGACAGACTCAGAGAAGTTGAACAATTTAGGGTAACAAAGCTAGTCTAGTAAGTGCCACAGCCAAAATTCAAACTCATGTCTTTCTGACACCAAAGCACAAGCTCTCCCATTGTGTGGCACTACGTCTCTCTCCACCCTTTGCTTTCAAATCTAAGGACTAGAAAGGTTATCCCATCTTGGGATCCTCCCTTGGCTCTTATGTGGTATTTAGCCTTTTTTTTTTTTTTTTTTTTGAGACACAGTCTCACTCTGTTGTTCCCGCTAGAGTGCCCTGGCTTCAGCCTAGCTCACAGCAACCTCACACTTCAGGACTCAAGCCATCCTCCTGCCTCAGCTTCCCACGTAGCTGGGACTACAGGCACGTGCCACCATGCTGGGCTAATTTGTTCTATTTTTTGTGGAGACGGGGTTCTCACTCATTGCTCAGGCTGGTCTCGAACTCTTGAGCTCAGGCAGTCCTTCCGCCTCAGCCTCCCAGAGTGCTAGGATTACAGGAGTGAGTTACCTCGCCAGACCCGATAATTTAGCCTTTTAATCTCACACAAAAGATTATAATTATGAACAAGAAAAGCACAGTACTAATGAACTAGAAAAATAATGGAATCTTACACTGGCCCCTCATTTTTCACTTTTCAAAACTTCTTACACACTAATTCATTCCATTTTCATAGTAGACATCTGAAATACGAATGTATAGGTGAGAAAACTAATGCCTGGAAAAGTTAAGGGACTTGGCAAAAATGAGATCAGGGCTGGATGCTGTGGCTCACACCTGTAATCCCAGTACTTTGGGAGCCCGAGGTGTGAGGAATGCTTGAGGCCAAGAGTTCAAGACCAGCCTGGGCAACATAGCAAGACCCGCTGACCTCCCCTCCCCCACCCAGCATCCACCCCCTTCAAAAAAAAAAAAATAAACGAATTAGCTGGGCATGGTGGCTGTATTCTTAGCTACTAGGAAGGCAGAGGTGGGAGAATTCCTTGAGTCCAGGAGTTCCAGGCTGCAGTGAGCTATGATGATCATCATCATAGGGGGAGACATCAAGGGGGAGACAGAGTGAATCCCTGTCTCAAAAGAGAGAGAGAGAGAGAGAGACAGAAACAAGATCAATCAATCACTAGAGACCAAAAAATATTCTGAATGAAGGTAGAGGCCAGTGTCAAAATCACTTCATGAAAATGTTCTTGTTTTTGTTCACATGGCTACCAAAGAAAAATTTTTATCTAAATGTCCATAAATCTTGACTATAAATAAAAAGATCGGCTGGCGCGGTGGCTCACGCCTGTAATCCTAGCACTCTGGGAGGCCGAGGCAGGAGGATTGCTCGAGCTCAGGAGTTCAAAACCAGCCTGAGCAAGAGCGAGACCCCATCTCTACTATAAATAGAAAAGAAATTGATTGGCCAACTAATATATAGAGAAAAAATTAGCCGGGCATGGTGGCGCATGCCTGCAGTCCCAGCTACTCGGGAGGCTGAGGCAGCAGAATTGCTTGAGCCCAGGAGTTTGAGGTTGCTGTGAGTTAGGCTGACGCCATGGCACTCACTCTAGCCTGGGCAAGAAAGTGAGACTCTGTCTCAAAAGAAAAAAAAAAGAAGTATTAACTACTAGAACTTAGGCAGGTGTGGTAACTCCTCATTCACTGCTACAAAGAGGGCGAGGGCGAGGATGTAACGGTACCTACCAATGTTTTACATGATGGCACAAGGTGTGAGACTTCTTTGGCTAATTAGATGGAGTGACTGGCCCACCTTACTAAGGAGTTGCATGAGTTCAACAGTATTTACCCTTCTGTCTTTTAAATGAAGTCAAGTTTTTTACTCTGGATGCATTTTGCACCCAGAATAAAATGGAAAAGTTATATGGCAGAAGGCATTATGGTGATGTGTCAAATAAAATCTGGAAGAAAAATTCATCATTCAGATTAAACAGCAGTAGAAACTTTCTAATTATTTTCTTTCTTTCTGTTATTGCCTCTTGATATAATGGACTAATGACCACTAATGAATAAATGAATGAATGAAGCTTTTTTCCTGAATCTTTGACCTTATTTTGTATTTCTATAGCATTTTTCAATTTTCCACAGAACTCTTTTAAGCCTGTCAGTAAATTTCAGTTGAACAAATAAATAAACTAGTGAGATGATCAGGATGGTTATTATTATATACATCTAATAAAGGTTGAAACTGACCCTCAAGAGGAGTTGGATTCGACCGTATTTACACCTCAGTGTAGGAAGTGCCAGGAGCAGGGTAGGCTCTTTTCTTCATCCTAAACCAGCACTTTGTATTGCACTACATTTTCTCTTTCTGGTAGATAAGATTATACTATAGGAAATTCAGATTGTGTCCAAATTTTTAAATATAAAATATACTATAAACTGTAGGTATTGGCCCAATAACTAGTGAGAATAGTGCTCTTGTAAAATAAGGGTCCCTTCATTCTACAGAAAAACATTGAATTCAAAAATTCCAGTACCGGCCGGGCGCGGTGGCTCACGCCTGTAATCCTAGCACTCTGGGAGGCCGAGGTGGGCGGATTGCTCAAGGTCAGGAGTTCAAAACCAGCCTGAGCAAGACCCTGTCTCTACTAAAAATAGAAAGAAGTTAATTGGACAACTAAAAATATATATATACAAAAAATTAGCCGGGCATGGTGGCACATGCCTGTAGTCCCAGCTACTTGGGAGGCTGAGGCAGGAGGATCGCCTGAGCCCAGGAGTTTGAGGTTGCTGTGAGCTAGGCTGACGCCATGGCACTCACTCTAGCCTGAGCAACAAAGTGAGACTCTGTCTCAAAAAAAAAAAAAAAAAATTCCAGTACCATTCCATTTGCTTTATTTGTATAACCTCTAGGGACAAAGAGGACAACTCTGTGAACCCCAAGGTAATCAGCCAAATGATGGCAATATTTTCCCTATAAATCCCCCAAAACAGATCAGAAAGTTTCTATGTAGGCTGAACATATGAGGAAATGTTAAACTAAATTTAATAAATTTTTTTGCGAATTTCACATCATTGAAATAATAATCTAAATGTTTAAGAAAATGGTAATATTGTCCAGGCACAGTGGCTCATGCCTGTAATTCTAGCATTGTGGGAGGCTGAGGCAGGAGGATCACTCATGGTCAGGAGTTCCAGACCAGCCTGAGCCAGATTGAGACCCCTGTATCTATTAAAAATAGAAAGAAATTAATTGGCCAACTAAAAATATATAGAAAAATTTAGCCGGGCATAGTGGCACATGCCTGTAGTCCCAACTACTTGGGAGGCTAAGGCAGAAGGATTGCTTGAGCCCAGAATTTTGAGGTTGCTGTGAGCTAGGCTGACGCCACAGCACTCTAGCCTGGGCAACACAGTGGTACTCTGTCTCAAAAATAAATAAATAAATTTTTTTCCATCAAAAAATCCAATTTGTGACTTTAGATTTTAGGTTTAAAGGGTCCTCTGGAGCCTTCCTCAAAATTCAGTAATTTAAGCCTGAGCAAGAGTGAGACCTCCCTGTCTATAAAAAATTTTCTATAAAAAAATAGAAAAATTAGCCAGGCATGGTGGCCTGCCTACAGTTGGCAGGCATGGTGGCCTGCCTATCCATCTACTTGGGATACTGAGGCAAGAGGATCATTTGAGTCCAGAAGTTTGAGGTTGCAGTGAGCTATGACAACACACTGCACTCTAGCCCAGGGGACAGAGTGAGATCTTGTCTAAAAAAAAAAAAAGAAACCTTAGTCATTTAAAATTTGCCCATTGTACCCATTTTGCCATAGATGAAGATTGTTTCTATGTATGCCTTGAATGCTTTTCTTGTTTAATGACATTTCTATCTTCCCTTCTAGGGCTTCTAGGGTACATATTTTTCAATGATGTCCTTTCATCTGTATTTTCAGATGACGAATGATAACTTCTGATTCTATTCTGTGACTGAAATTTGATTAAATTTATTCTATTTACAAGCTTTTTTTTTTTTTTTTTGACAGGGTCTCCCTTTGTTGTCCAGGTTAGAGTGAGTGCTATGGCATCACCCTAGCTCATAGCAACCTCAAACTCCTGGGCTCAAGCAATCCTCCTGCCTCAGCCTCCTGAGTAGCTGGAACTACAGGCATGCGTGCCACAATGCCCGGCTAATTTTTTCTATATATATTAGCTGGCGAATTGATTTCTTTCCATTTATAGTAGAGATGGGGGTCTCGCTCTTGCTCCAGCTGGTTTTGAACTCCTGACCTTGAGCAATCTGCCTGCTTTGGCTTCCCAGAGTGCTAGGATTACAGGCTGAGCCACCGGCCCGCTGGCCTTTTTTTTTTTTTTTTTTTTTTTTTTTTTTTTTTTTTTTTTTTTGAGACAAGGTCTTGCTCCATTGCCTGGGCTAGAGTACAGTGGCATGATCATATAGCTCACTGCCACCTCAAACTCCTAGGCTCAAATGATCTCAGCCTCCTCAGAAGGTGGGACTACAGGTGTGAGCCAGCATGTCTGTCTGGCTAATTTTTCTATTTTTTTTCTTTTTATAGAGACAAAGTCTTGTTATGTTGCTTTATGTTGC